TAAATTTGGCCTTGTGCCGCATCCTACCTCGTGGGGAAGCAGATAAATATCGTAATATGCTGTCTAAATAGTTCAGTACTAGCAGTGGTTTACCTACTTCGCACTGCTGGCGAGTATTGTATTTTGTTCATGTTATAAAGATTACCATTTCATTTTCAACCTCCGTTTTGGTTATTCATCGTTCAGTAACATTTTCTAGGTTACAACAGTATGAATCAATCTCTTCCCTCACCAGCTATGGGTGAAAAAGCAGTGTTGCTCGGACTTTCAAGTTTTGAGGGGAGACAAATATAAGAGAAGGAAAATTATGAATACCAAACCAGAAGGTAACGGGAAGCAACACAACTACCCCCTACCCAAGAAAAAAACATGGCAACAGATAATAAAGTAAAGGAACACGTTGGGTACTATGATCGGATACGCCCTGAAGGGACGTGGCACTAAAATAAGAAATGACTTCTACCCGGTACTCTAAGTGAATTCGTTTAATCAATATCTTTTTCTTTGTAATTTGCATTCTTTTTTCCCTATTCATGTTTTTCTCCCCGAAAAGTTCGACCAGAAAGACATAAATCCATCCCAACCTTGAATCTGTGATTGAAATACTAAACTGAACTCTCTAGCTTTGGTGGCAATTTCAAACAGTGAGAAAAAAACACACACAAGAAAGTACTCCACTATCTTTTCCAAGAAAGCATGACAATTTACAGATAATAATAAAAAGGAGTCCGTGGTAAGATATAACCACATACGTCCGGAAGAGGCACGGCATTTTAAAAATTGCTGGGAACTCTAACGTTTGGTGATAGCCAGACTCAGAGAAAGAAATTTTCGAATACCAAACTGTAGAGAAGGTAACAGGAAACCAATCCACTATCTTTCCTAAGAAGGCATGACAATTCACAGATAAAGAAAAACGGAAGCTGCGAAGGACAATGATCGCCTACGTTCTGAACGTATATAATATTTTAAAAAAAGATTATATATACTAAACTTAGCTTAGAATGGCGCAAAGACTGGTGGAAATGGGGATAATGTGTTATTCTTGCTTTTCAAATGTGGAAAGACTAAACTAGCGTGAAAAAAAAACCTATTCAAATCTCCATATATTATTATTATTATTATTATTATTAAAAAAATAGTTTTATTTTGCAGTTAGAATATATTTGGAAAGATTATATAAAACTAAATTTTCTTCAAATCTCTTTTTATTCAATAACGGATGCCATATCAACGCACATTTAGACGATGTTAAAATTGGGCTCTTGTTATTTATTGGTTCTAAATTATTTTTCTCAAATAATTGAATACTGGAACCTGTGAGTAACGACGAAGTTTTAAAGGAAATGGGGAAAAAAGTACAGTTATAGGAGATATAATGAAGGGGATATTTGAAATTTCTATGGCACATAATGAGGTAAGGGGGTTTGGAAAATTTGATACTCACAGGACAGATTGAAAACAAGAGGGACAGAGAAAAAAAAGAACGCATAACCTATCTAGTAAGCTTGAGTAAATAAATAGCAGAAAAACGTTTAAGTGAGATATCAAAAAAACAAAAGTTATTAAGAGCTAAAACGGACAGGAGATTATGGAGGGCCATGATCGCCAACATCCAGAAAGTAAAGGACACACAGATGAATAAGAATGCAACATAAATGCATTAATATTTAATGTTTAGGGAAAAGTTTGTTTTTTTTTTACTGTTAGTACATCTAATACAAGGACCAAGAGCCACTCTAGACAGAGGGTTACTGATTGAAATTGTGTTAACGGAGGGGAAGGAGGAAGTAAGTGAGTTTTACGAGGACGAGTAGGAGACGTTTATTGTTTGACTGTTTAGTGACACATTAACCTCTATAGATTATTTAATGCCGAAATCTAAATATTTTGAACACAGTTTGGTGACTTCAACTGCAGAGAAAATGCATTGCTGGTCATTTTGTTATAAGATGTATGTTGTTCATTTTGCTATAAAATGTACTGCAGGCTACAAATATGAACTGTTGGCAATTTATTATATAAAAATGTATCACTGGTATTACTATAAATTGTAATAAATGGTGGTTTACTATTTGCCCATAGCTGGGACCCTAACAAGTACTACCACCCCGGGAACCACAGCAGTTAAAAGGTGGTTCCACGCTCCACAAAACCTCCAATCGTCCTTGCTGCCGGATGTAGTTTATTGTCAGATATCACTTGGTCCTGGAAATAAAATTGTAATTTTCAGGGAAGCAATCTCTCAGGAGTTTATTCCACAAAGTAAGAGTTCTGAAGAAAAAAGCTGTCTGAGTAGAACTTTTTTTATTAAAGAAAACGGAAGCGATAGTTTGCCTCCCGGAACACGGCATGGCAGGTTCTAGTTCTGAAAGTCCAAGCTGGTGGCACTCATGGTTGTAACTGGTCCGAAACATTTGCTATAGTTATTATGACATAGTAGTGAGGGGCTAGCAAATTTTTAATCTGTGGGATAAGGGTTGCTGGGTGGAGAATAATTCATCACCCACATGGCCACGTAAGCGCATTGGAAATATGTCATGGTAAGACAGTGAGGATTGGACACCATCAGCCTAAATCTGACGGCAATGGTCCAATTTTCGTTTCATCTGACTCTTGTAAAGTGAGTTTTATGAGGACGAGTGGTACGGCTAGTATTCATTTATCACCTTATAGACTCAAATATCAACAACCAATATTTATTTATCACCGAATGAAGTAAATTCTTAAGACTCAAATATAAACAACCAATATTTATTTACCTTTCCTCAATCCAAATAAATACTTATAGACCAATATTCATTTATCACTGAACCAACTTATAGACTCAAATATAAACGATCACATTTTGTCTCTCCCCGAGCCAAGTAAATTCTTAAATAAACGACTAATTACAAACGACATACTAGTAAGGAGCAGAAAGGTTCCAGTCGCTGCTAGTAAAATAGAGCATGTTTAAGCTTGTGGCTCAGCTCCAGGAAGGTTTATAGACTTGTAAGTACTTTTAACAGCTAAGTTAAATGTCAGTATATATAAACCTACCATTTAAATACTTTACCTATCACTGAAACAAGTACATCTTTATAAACTCAAATTTTTAAAAAAAGTCATTTCGGTAGCCAATGACCCACAAGAGTTGATAAGTAAAATCAACCGACTCGTAACCTTCAGAACGTATATTTATATGTCTACATTTCTGTAGAGTCATGAAACCAGCGACTAGTGTTTCAAGAATTAGATCTGTGGATTCCTTCGAAATTATCCAACTATTTTGAATACATTGACAGCCCATTCTTCACATCTTATGCGTTTTATTTTGTTTTTATAGTATTAGCTATCTATCTAATACAGCCTTTTATATGATGTAACCTCAGTACTTAGCTGTTAAAAGTACTTACAAGTCTATAAACCTTCCTGGGGCTGAGCCACAAGCTTAAACATGCTCTATTTTACTAGCAGCGGCTGGAACCTTTCTGCTCCTTACTAGTATGTCATTGCCATACAAACAAATCGGACGAGTAAATTATGTAAACAATACGTGACGCCAGTATGTGAGGGACCCATGAGAATGACTTTTTTTTCTTAGAAATTTCTTTCCAATATTAGGATGGGTCTTTCAAACCGTAGCTTCTTCTAAGCCGGAAAAATGGTATTCACAAATGAAGAATTTTTTTCTTTTAGAAAATCATTGTAAAAATATTTTTTTTCTTATATCTGTTACTCCCAGTTACTTAATTTTATGAAATTTCAAGAAATTAAAATTTCAGCCTCTTCACATTTATATTAGTTAAAACAGGACTTCTTGGAGAATTTATATCATTAATTTAATCATTTATCAAAAATCTGCTCTGTATCGTAAAATTAAAAAATGCAAAACTATATTATTCAATTAGAAATTGTTTTAATTGCTTTTATAAATAAGATATATTAAGAACACTATTCTTCTTAAAAAAAATTATGATTTTTGTTTTCATTTTTTAAATTTTAATTAGAAAAATTTATTAAGTTGTATATGTTTTCAAATTCTGTATTAATTTCAGTCTTTTAGATGATATTATTATTAATCATAAATCGAACAGCATAATACAAATCATCAAACACCAATATTATAAAAAGAATTTTAATTTTTGTAAATAGTGGTGACCATACATGGCATTATCAAAAAATAAGAGCGATAACTATAAAAAATTTAAACTAATATTTCTAAAATTCAATAAAAGATTAGATTACGGAGAATATTTTCCTAAATTCTTAAGATTACTGAGTACTTAAAAATTATATTAAAAAGCGCTCATATCATTTTCTTCAATTATGTTTTACAGATAAAGTCTCTGTCAACACAGCTACTGTCAAGTTAAAAACACGGCCCCTGAGGGGTTAAAAAATGGATTTCTGCAACATTTTAAAGTTAAAGTAAATAGTATTTGCTTCAAATCAGATTAATTATATTTTAAATCAGCTAATAAGATTTCAGAAAAGTATATTTTATTTTGGGAAGATTTTTTAATAAAGAGGATTACATTGCGAATAAAAGACGACTAAAAAAGGGCGACCATCAGCTTTTTTAGAAAAAAAAACTATTTTGATTATTGGAAATATTAGCTTGAAATTAAAACTAAAATAAAAACTCCAAGAAAGTTTTTTTTTAATCTTAGGTATCGCATTTTTTTTTTTTGCTTCTTTTTGTTTGTTTGTTTTTGTGTGTGTGTGTGTGTGTGTTTGTGGATGCCGCTCAATAAAAGGGACTTAAAATGAAATTAAGACTGTACAGGTTTTGATTTGATTGACTTGTTTTTTATGGGTTATCAACCTATTGCCGGTTGTTCAAAGCTAGAAATTATTTTATATTATAAGAATTGTTTGCAGATAATAAAAATTTACTGACACAAGTTTTACTAGTTAACCCATAGCTGGGTAGTGAATTAGTGGATTCATACTGGAATCGGAACTAGGATCTCAGATTTCCAATCCCGAGCCGTTACACCACCCTCACATACAAGCTTGCAGCACCTGGCATTCCCAAGCGGTCACTCATCTTGGTACTGACCAGGCTTGAAATGGCTTAACTTCTGTGGATCTTACGGGAACCAATGCTTCACCGTGATGTGGCCTTAAGCTCAACTCTTTGATTTCTCATATCTAGCCGTTATTGAATACACCACCCGTACATCCAACCTTGGCATTTCCAAGCTGTCACCCGTCTAGGTACTGACCAGGTTCAAATTTGGTGACCCTACGGGAACCTGTGTTTCACCGTGTTGTTGCCGTAAGCTTAAACATAAACAGAAATGATGCCCAAACTTGAACGAGTATTTTTCTTATATTGTAGATGATTACATTTACATTAAGGCCGTTAGTGAACTATATGGTGTATAAAATAATTCACGTCTCAAAACGTTCTAACATCATCATTTTGGTTAATTCGCACCGTACACAATCTTAATAATCCTAGTACGAACCTGACGAGTCGGAAAACGAAAGTAGACTTTGTTATTGATTTTAATTCGATCAGCTTTACGGTGAAAAGCTCACTGGTCACATTAAATATCTTAAAAGTCAAACTAAAGTGTTTCATCATTACGAAGCTGATCCTGGATATTCGTCTATCGCAATGAACGGGCACTCCTTAACTTGAAAATATATAGGAGCTTAAGCTCACACCAGGGCCCTTGTTAAAGATGCTGTAAAAATGATAGGTCCCTTGTACCTTGCCCCTGCTGTTATCCTCTTACAAGAGCCAGATCTGACCGAAAATGAGTACTGCTACTATATCTTGGCAGAAGCTGCACAGTCCTCATTTTCTAGCCTCGATAGTGTTCAAAAGCAGCCTTAAGGGTGATTAATTGTCTCCACACTACAACACTTTTCCCGCAGATAAGCATGGGGGCCTGCGAGACCATTCGATACCGTGTGGGAGTATTTGAAAGGGTCCGCCAGTCAATGATCCGACGGCTTCATGAGTGTACAGAAACAAGCGGAGGACATTTTGAAAATTTGTTATGAGTTGCCCTTTTGATGTACAACCGATAGCCTTTTGTACATATGTTTATATAGACATTGTACCCTGTTTTGCTGTCAGAATCCGCCACCAAATTTTGTAAAAGTATTTTGGGAATGTATCTTGGATTGTACATTTAACAGCGTCTACCGTAAACGTTAAACTTAATAATTCAAAAGCGTAGGATTTGCGGACATATGTTTATATTGACTTTTGTCCTTGTTTTAGTGGGAGGAATCCGCCCCCAACGTTTGTAAAAGTATGTTTGATATACCCAGTATATACAGGGTCTGATATTTCTAGGGCACATTATGAGGAAAGATGGCTTGGAAACTCACAGGGCATATTGAAGGAAAGAAGATGCTGACGGGCAACTCGTCAAATGCTAACAGCAGCTAGTTTCAACATTAAAATATCTATGATGGTATATATATATATATATATATATATATATATATATATATATATATATATATATACCATCATGTCAGTATATATATATATATATATATATATATATATATATATATATATATATATATATATATATATATATATATATATATATATATATATATACTGACATTTCTGGGACATACTGAAAGGAAAGATGGCTTGGAAAATTTGGCACACACAGGAAGGAAAGAAGGGCAGAGATAAAAAACACTGAGTAACCTTCATAACGGGTTTACGAGAAGGAATGACATAACGGTGACAACGAGGAATGGCGAAGATAAAAAAAGTGCTTAGAGAAACAAGGGGCAGTTGTGGGGGAGCCAGGATCGCCATCATCTTGAAGGTACACGCAAATAAAAAAACGACTATGCAATATATGCTTTTCAATTATCTCTTTATAAAATCATTAGGAATGCATTCTTTATTAAAATATTTATGTATTTTGAATATGGCTTCTTAAATAAATATCTTGATGAAATTTCCCTTTTTTTCTTGACCACTGATAATATAATAAACAGGTAGTTCAGATATTAATTACAGTGGTGTGATTTTATTACGAAACTGAAATAACTTCAAGGAGTGGTATTTTTCTTTCACGTTTAAATAACTGCTACACTTGCTTTTGCCTGTTTCGTCTTGTCGCAGGGTAGATGATGTGATTACGGAAGATTCATCAAACGAGACCGAGGCAAAAAAAAATTCAATTAAATTTTTCTACACCTTATTATTATTATTATAGTTTTTTCTTCCTTAACTTTTTAATGTTTTCTTCAAAGTAACGCTTCCAAATTTTCATGAGCACTGAATAACTGCGTTTTGTCGGGCCTTTTATCGTTGAATCTGGTCTGAAAATGTATTTGGCAAGAACAACTCTAATTGAAGCGAAGATGCTAACGGGCAGCTAGTCAGGAAGTGATGTAAATCTCCAAATCCCGCGAGAGAAAAGTATTTCTCGTGCATTCTCATACGAGATGTTTGTGAAGATAGGGAAAGGATGCGCGAGCGTACTCGTCTGTAGCAGAAGTTGTGCTGTCAAGTGATTTTTCAGCGAGAACTGATGTGCGCTTTCAAAAAGGTGAAGAAAATGGGTTTGCGCGAGGTGGGGTGGCCTCTATTTAATAGTTTCGAGCGTATAGTTACATCTGACGTTAACGGAATAAAATGATTATTTTTTTTTTTTTTATTATATATATATATATATATATATATATATATATATATATATATGGTTAGGTGTAAGGCACTATTGAAAAGTTCAGAGAACCTAGATTAATCAAGCTGCTTACTTATCAAGTAACCCCATGTTTCCCATGTCTCACCAGACATTTCCCACATTTTTCGAATTGATTCTAATAGAAAATAAATAAACTCATGTTGATCATTTGATTTTTTCATTTCATTGAGGAAACTATATCGTGATGTAAGCTCTTCGAATTTGAGGATAGTCTTTTCATATAACGCGAAGTTCACTACTTGAGTAGTCCTTCGCTAGATATTGATGTTGTGAAGCGTTTTTTTTTGTTGTTTTGTTTTTTTGCTCTGTTTTGATAGTCTAAGCAATGAGAACTTTTGTTTACTGTGCAGGTAGATGTTTGATATTTGATCGTTTTTTTATTTTCTTTCTTGTTTGGGATTTTTTTTGTCTAAGTTATTTTTAGTCTAGCTATTTTTTCCAACATTATAGTTTTTTATTAGTTTATATATATATATATATATATATATATATATATATATATATAGAGAGAGAGAGAGAGAGAGAGTGAGAGAGAGAGAGAGAGAGAGAGAGAGAGAGAGAGAGAGAGAGAGAGAGACGTCTATTTAATCTTTTATTGTATTTTTCCAATTTTCGGATATGTTGAGTATTGTGTTCGAAATAGTTGGTAAACTGTCTGACGTTCATATTTTGCTATCTTTCTTCAATTACTTTCAACAATTGCAGTCATTATCAAGAATCGATTTGGTGTCTGTGTGATAGTTAGGATTCCTTTGTCTACATCCTGATTTTCTTTGCGGACGTATGAAATGGCAATGTGTAACCTCTCTTCGGAACGAAATCGCACAAAGAGATTGCGATTTACTTATTTATTTATTAATTTTTTTATTTTTGTTTTATTTTTATTTTATTTATTTTATTATTATAATAAAATATTTGTATTAATTATACCATATGCACATTAAGATAACTTCTCCTGTGGTAAATGATGTTCCATTCGTGAAGTTCTTCTTGTGCTTCTAACTTCGATGATTGTTAAGGCAAACTTGAGACACACCCATTACGCATATAGGAAAAGGAACTGCATCCTTTGTGAAGGTTGCATGAATCTTACAGCAGTGATCAGTGTTCCGCCTTGTAATAAGTAGATGTTCAGTGGGTGATCCCTAAAACGTTGTAATGTATTTTATGCACACACGATTTGTAAGGCATAGCGCGAAAAACATTTGCATAATATATATTGCATAATATATTTTACGTAATTTAAAACACGTAATACGCCTTGCATAAAACATAAGGCGTAAAACATTTCGCATAATTATAATGCATAACACATTTTACGTAATGCAAAATGCGTAATGTGTTTTACATAAAGCATAACACATAAAACATTTTTTGTACAAATCTAATGCATAATACATTCTACGTAATACAACATGTCCAGTAAAGCATGAAATATAATGCAAAAATATTTTATGTAATGGAAAACGTGTAATACATTTTATATGAAGTATAACGCATAAAACATTTTGCATAAAATATAATGCAAAATACATTTAATGTAATTCAAAATATGTAATATGTTTTATATAAAACATAACACAAAAACCATTCTGCATAAAATATAATGTATTTCGTATAATGCTTAATATGTTTTACGTAAAACATAAGATGTTTTACATCTCAATACATGTTTCATATTTGGTCTTTTGAAGCAAATTAAATATTAAATACAGTAAGATTGAATTTCCAGACCATTTTACAAGTAGGTTACTCTTAAATTTTAATACAAACTTAAAAAGAATCCTCATAGATCGAAAGAAGATTTGCAAGTCTTCATCGTTTATTTTCCACTTTGCCACAAAGAAAATTCCAGTTCTTGCGAGGCTAAAAGATTCCTTTTTCGATTGCTCACTATTTAAATCCAAAAACATATTATCGATAGAAACCTCATTCGTTTTATTCCGTTGGCGCATTTTGAGCCGCTGTGATCACCACTCCCCTCTATCTCACAAATGTAGTCCATGGTTACATTCAAGGCAGAATAGTACTTGCCAGTTCGTTTTGCATAGGAGATGTTGAGGTTACCCCGTCCCTCCTGTCAGAGGTGGATTTGGTTTTGAAGCTATCATGTTCTAGCCTTTGCCTAAAGAGGCCGGAACTACTACATGGTTTGAATTCAGAGTTTTCTTCTCCTAGACTGGTTGCCTCCCAAGACTGTAAGATTCAGTCTGTCCTTCTTTGTTGCCTATAGCTGGGTAAGCTGGATAGAAATTTACATTCATAAAATCGCTTTATACATTAAAGACATTAAATTTTATACTTGTTTTTTTCTTTTCTTTTAGGAGGGCATGAAAGAAATAGCTTCTGACGTATTTTATTCTTTATCCTTGTAGGAAACTTTTTTTCTCTTTCTTTTTTCTTTTTGTAGAGTCATAGAATGC